TGTTAAAGCCAGATTTTTAACATGTATGTTTATTTTTTGTAAACTGCCACATGTCATGTTTAAATAATATTTTAACATGTATGTTTATTTTTTGTAATGTAAATTGTGATCTTGTCTCTGTCCATTTTTCCCAACATTGTTACCTGGATCTGTATGTGTGAACCCGCCCTGCTCAAGCTACATTCCCTTGACTTTTTTTGTAGCCCCCTAGCGCCCCCTCTCTATATTACACTGTATTGGATGTTGAACCAATGCTGTGAGTTATCAGTTGGGGTCATGTCGTGCCGTGCTCCTTATGTTCCTCTTTCCTCTTCCTGCTGCAGTTCCTGCCTCAATTAACTTCTCCTGTGACTGATTCAACCCAACAATCCAGTCAACCGTGAAATCCCAAATCACAGGTTAGTTCAGTTCAGTTCAACAGCCTCCTCTCACTGACTCCATCTGCTGCTCTCCCACCTCACTGCGTTCGCTTGTTTTCCGGGGTCGATGCTTAACTGATTGGACGGTGCAGCTGTGACCCAGCAATGTTTAACTTGGAGATCAGTTTGTGTTTAGTTTCATTTTGTAATTCATACTTTTTTGATTTTAGAAAGCAGGGGTTTAAAGGACATTTTTATGCTTTAGTTTTGGAGGATCCTTCAAGTTTCTGTTTTTTTTTTCTAGTCTGGCCATTTTGTAACTGATCAGCATCTCGTATCTTTATTAACTCAATTGTCGGAATACTGTGATTTTTTTTTTCCATTAAAACAACTTTTGTTAAATGGAGAGAAGGGTTTATCTGAAGGGCAAAAAGCTCGTGAACAGATATTCACTTACGTCCTAATGGAGGAGGAAGGAAATGACATTAGGCTTTGAAATGGAAGACAGTGATTCTACAGAAAGAGCGTGACTATCACTTCCTGTGACATTAAACATATTTATGGAAAATAACCTTTAAAATGGAGGTTAAACGCAAGCGCAGCAGCAAATGGCCTGCTCAGATTGTCAAGAAATTGTTGTAAAGGCTGTGACTTAATATTGCCTGAAACAAGTCAATGAGGCGCGGTAACAGCCGTGTTCATGTTCTGATGGTCTGGAGGTGAGACTGGAGCAGCAGCAGGGTGGAAATATTCAGGCCAGTTAAATAGTTTGGATTAGATTGCCCTCCTCGTCTTTATATATATATACAGTATATATTTATATATATATATATATATATTAGCCATCAGAACCAATGACGCAGAGACAGTTTCCAACCCAACATACTTGGTATGGTGATCTACAGGGCTCCGTACTCGGCCCTCTTCTTCTTTTATTTTTAAAGTTTTGTTCCTTGTTCATCCCTATAGTGGTCTTTTGTTTTTGGTTTTTTTTTTTGGGGGGGGGGGTTTACAACTTCCCAAATAACTGCCATCCCAAATTATTTACAGCCTACAGTACAACAAACTGTAAGTCAAACTGACCCTGTCAATAATTAGATTAACTGTGTCAGTATTAGGATAAGTTAATAATGTAAGTAATAATAATAAAGGCTCTGGATCATATTGAATATAATAATTAAATAGAAGATTCGTTTTTTTTTTTTTAATTTGACTTTTTTCTTCTGGACTACAGTCTTCTTTAATTATACGCTGCGCTCCAGTGTTATCTTACCTTAATTAGTGTTATTAAATGTAGTTGGCAACCCCGCACACTCCAGAGTGTTATTTCAACTAACCTTCTTGACATTTAATTTTCAAGTGATAAAATTTAAATATCTTTTAAATGAAAATTAATTCATTGCACTTTACTTCAAAAACGTAGACTGGTGTTACCGAGTTCTTTTATATTCCCATCTGCAGAGACAGACGCGCATTGTTGAAGCAAGTCTGAAAAATTGTAGCAATAAAAGCTTTATTTATATTTTCTTACCCGTTCCGTGCACCTAAAAATGCACTTTGTACAGACGGCTGTGGTGACTGATGACCACAGCGCGGATCATCCGAGTGTCCAGAGGATTTAGGGTCATGAGTCTGTGGGCGTTTGTTGTTTGAACAGACACGGAATCAAGGCCTTGGTGATGAAATACAGGATATATCTGTCTCCCAGCCAACAAATCTATTTCACTAATGTTAGTTCTCCTTGACACCTGATCTGTGCCGTTCTCTGATGGGACAACCTGGTGAAGCCGAACATTAATCACCTCAGTATTTTCCCAGAGTGAGGCTCTGTGGGTCGGACACTCGGTCTGAGTTACTGTACGTTGGTAGTAGAAACGTTAGTAGAAGAAACGTCAGTCTAACGTGTTCCGCTCTTGTCCATGATCCCTGCGATGATTAGCTTTGGTTCAAAGAGAAATTAATAATAAAAGTCATGAATGACAATCGCCTTCATCTAGAGCTCTTCTGACAGGAGTCGCATCACGGACGTTAATGCTCATTTGAAGAGATTAGAGGGGTAATCTGTCCTGTTCTTCTGCACCAACGACAGACGGCTCTTCTGAAGGAGAAGCTCATTATCGGTGCCATTAGGCAGATGTGTCTGTAAGGAAATTACTGCCGTTTCAAAAAGTTGTTCTTAATGGATACACTGTCATTACTTCAGAGAAACTCTTCAGAGCAAGAGGGGAACGAGGCAGAGTGACAAACTCTATTAATCACACCGTGGCTGCTGTTTCACCGCCGCCGCCGCCACCACCACCGCAGGCTCAGGATGGAGCCTTTGTGTCTGGATGCTCATTACACTGAACCTTCTTGATGTATGAAACAGAAATGGCAGCCCTAAATGTTTTGGCTCTTGTTTAAGGCTGGTTTCTGTACAGAACATTCATCATGTTAATTGAGTCTCTCCACTTTGTTGTTGCTGATTTTGTCTTTTTGCGAAATTAATTTTTCATGTCATCGTATGTGGGCTCGCTTTCAGTGTGTCTTGAGTCTGAACGCCTCAGAGAAGGAGTTAAAAAAAAAAGAAGAAAGAAAGATGAGGACGTTCAACTTATCATGTTAGACAAAACAATTACCACAGAGTTGGCAGCTGAGGAGCAAGTGATTTTTACAGATGATTAATGGAGACTTTTATACACAGAAATAACCTTTACGGCAACATTTGCATCATTGGCTGCTTTTGCATTTCTATTTTGGGTTGGCCCAAAAAAAGAATCCTGCAAGTCATCCGCAAAAGATGACGTCTCGACTTAACATTGTTTCGCAAAGACTGGGTCACGACCCTCAGGTGGGTCACAAGGGTGGGTCATGTTTCCCAGGAGTTTACGAATAATGTCTATGGACTTGGGTCGCGAAGGTTTGTGACTTAAAATAGGGTTCCTCAGAAAAATAGTTTGGGAAACACTGCCCTCGCGGCCCTCTGATGGGTCACACAAGCTTTTTTGGGGTCGTCTCGCTTCATGTTTCCCAGGAGTTTACGAATAATGTCTATTGACTTGGGTCTTGAAAGTTTGTGACTTGATTTGAATTAATGGACGTGATTAAAATGCTGTTGATAATGAAGTTGAAAGATTCTTGCTATGTTTCAATCTGGATCACGGCACAGGTTGAAAGATTATTGGTCTAATCAATCTGGTTCTTGGCCCAATTGAACGATTTGGCTCTTCTTCGTTTGTGAGCACGATACCAATTGAAGGATTCTTCTCTCCGTAGTCACAGCACCAAATTCAAAGAAATCACTTCCTAGGTAGTCTCAGGCAAGGAATGAAACAGCCAATAGATGGTCGATTCAGATAATAACAAACGTCAAAACAAAACAGGTCTAACGAGCAAAATAAACCAACTGGAGAAGTATTCAAGAAATGTTTTCAAGAAATGTGGCGCTGCAGCTCCATGATTCAGCGGTGTTGGAGGACTTGTTTATGAACCTTTCGTCACTGAGCAAGGTGTTATTACAAAGGAAGTGGACGGAGCCTTGAGGTCCGGCCAATAACAGGTAGTCATGTGGATCAAAGGGAGACTTCCCATTGTTCCCAGGCAGTAGAGGTGTTTTGGAACGACAGGGAGAGATCTGGGGAGTTGGTGTGAAGAGAATCTAGGAGAAATTCTCTTTCAATGTTTGGGGTTTATGTAAATGTGTGTGCCTGGGTCGGCATTTGGAATGTATACCCGTGTCTTAGCAGCTTCCTGCTCAAATGTGTGTGCCTGGGAAGGCCTTTGGAATGTATACCCATGTCTTAGCAGCTTCTTGCTCTCAGACTCAAACCATTGTGAAAACCACTGAAATAGTCTCAAACCAATGTGAAAACCACTGAAATAGGACAATCGCAAGCCCCGAATTAGTTTGTGTCACTTGGGTTTTGACAATATCGGTGAGATGGGCGCGCATGGAGTCGCAGATCAATAGGGACGGAGATTTGTAGAAAAGGGTAGTGACCTAAGCTGGACACAGGAGGGCGCTGTTGTTGTTGTTCGCCCCTCCAAAGTCAGGCGGTTGTCACTATTTTTGTTCTGGATGGTCACCATATTGTTGTTTTATCATTTATCGTTTTCTGTTTGGTTTGGTTTTTCTGGGGGGGAGAAAAACACCATCCACGTCCTCATCCACTGCTGCTCCCTTGAGGTGATTTCCATAAACAGGTC